AACAGGTGAACGTGCTCCGGAAAATGATGGATCAAGATAAGAGCAGCCAAAACATTTGGCGTCGACTCGCTCGTCGATAAGATTCCCTAAGAGATCCCGTCTTAAAGGAAATTACTCGACTGTATTCGTTCCTCCGGCAAAAAAAGCCAAACTACTGTTAACGATAAGCCGAAGCACCGAGCCCGGAATGAAAACACCCTATTAAAAAAGCACCATCAATCTTCCAGAGCGATTTTCACCAAGAAAGTAAATCAATACGTTCCCCTCTCCGTTCGCCTAAAGCTATCACCAAACAGCGAGCGTTTTCGACTCATCCCCGGGTCCAATTACACCCGAACAATCGCGTGATCCTCGTGCTCGTTTCTCCGACTGCGTCATGCGCGTCCTCGGCGAAAATAAATTCAACAATTTCCGGGGCACGCTCGCGAGCTTCCACTTTGAAGGACGAGTCTGATCTACCAAATCTAAAAAATCGACTTCTTTTCTATTGCTTTAAAATCTTCCTGACCGCGTAAAGAATGGTTTCGCAAAGGTCCACTGTATGCTCCCGGGATCGCAGTTTAGCTTTACGCAGCCTTTAAGAAAACTTTAAGCGCGTTTCTCTCTAAAGCACATTTTCCAAATTTGCGAGAGACAAATAAAGGTTCAAGAAGAAAAATAAATTATCTCTTGAAGTGATATGCATGGGAAAAAGAACCTCGGCTGGACCAGACTCCCTCGTTAAATCATGGGCTCCGAAAAATGGTGTCCTTCGGTAATCCTTGCCACGAACCCAGGCTCAGCGATGTCTCCGCGCAGATATTAAGTTGTGGCTGTTATTATCGCCGCAAATGGTCGACTCCTCGCGCCTTGGGAATTCGATAAGACGAAAGGCGGGCTCGTAAGCGATACAGAAATACGATGGGAACGTGAGACGACGTTCTCCGGGCGCAGGAATGTTCCAGGAACGACACAGGTCACGTAGCAAGTCGGTAGGCAAGCAATCGATTACTAGCGGGAATAAAAGTAATTGCTTTATAGTTCTCGAACCGTGGTTACCAATGGTCGGTCGTTCCTCTCCCGTGTTTCTACTCCTGGTGGAATCGTCCCGAGCACAGGACCTCTTGTGCCCGATTTATATTCGAGGGATGAAGTCATTTCCTGTTCTTTGGCCTCGCGCCACTCCAATTCAATTTTTTCTCGGGTAGCATCTCCAAGATTGTTTCGAATCTCTCATCCAGTGGGTTCAATATGTGGCAGAGGATGGCGTATCCAATTTTAGGACCAATCGGCTTCTCAGCGTTTCATTATTATTTTTACTAACACACTTGAACTACCATCGAGAGATGTTATTAATTAATCTTTAAAGTTGAGCTACTTTTTGTAGCGCATTCCTTGTTTCGGTAATAATTCTTACGAGTTACGAGGAATAATGGAGAAGGACATCACAGTAGCCACCTCTGTCGGACATCTCGTCTCGTTAATTCCTCCTTCACTCCGCCATTTAATCGACGCTTTGGCTCGGGACCGTTCCGTTAGCGTTTCATTTCCCCGAAGGAGAAAAATAGCCTCTCAGAGACCATTACATCGAAGAACGGAATTAACTTGCATCGAGCCGAGCTAAAAGAGTCGGGCGGCGAAACAAGAAACGGCGGATCGACATGTCCGAGTCGATCGACGATGCCCGTTTCGCGGAGAATCGAATTCAATCGACTCGCCGCGAGTAATTCGTGTCCGCGTACGTAAGAAACGTCTCCCTGAAAAGGATACAACGTCGACGTTCCAGCTCGAAAAGGACTTCTCGGAGAGCGATTTATTATTCTTACTCGACCTCGATTCGAACGGCACTTTTCGACATTTTTTTCTTTATTATCTTCCTTTCCTGGACTCGCGGCCACCGTTTCTGCTTCTGTTTTTTTAAGAGCTACTTTTTCCTTTTCCTCGTCACAGAATCGATTGGCCCATCCGTTGATCGCAGCGGAGTCTGCAATGAAATGGAGGGCAATTTGTTAAGGGGGATGCGTTCGATCGGTAAATTGCTTCGCGTTGATCAAGAATATTGTACAAGCATCTTCTTTTAAAGTAGATCAAATAAATCAAGAGAAAGAAGAAAACTAATCTCCTTACTCGAGTAATTACAATAGCGATCATAAAAATCTTCGTTAATTTATTACCACTTTGTGTAATTCTTTATTCAGTTAAAGTAGCACGAAATGCTATTACCCAATTAGAGGGAAATATTTTCTCGGTTACTTCTAGATTGGTATCGAACAATAAAATTTTCTCTTCGTAAATTGAAAATCAGAGTTTCACGAACTCAAAGAAAACTCGACGATTCCTTCCGCACCCGCGTCGGAACGTACGATAATTTTATGTACGCGAATCCGTAGCTCTCCTGCAAATATTATCAAATAATTTCGCGGGCGAAACCATCTCCACGGCTGAAACTTGTCCCTCCGTGCTATGAAAACCTAACGATAAAACAAGCCCCAGCGGTCGCGATGAAAAGGAATTTATTACATTCGCTCGCCGGCGAAACTCCGCGAACGAACTCCGACTACTTTCTCGACTCGCTGAAAAATAGAGGAAGTTAAACGAGAACGAGTGGCCCGTTGGATCAACTGTCATTTAGAAATTTAATTCAAAAGTTTGCGGGGCCTCCCTAGCCGCGCCGGGAAATGAAATCCTCGTATTGTCCTGCGGTCGTCCATTACGTCGACGAGGACGACCGGGAATGTGCAAGGAAAATGAAAAGCACGCACCACTCCCCCGGCATTCGACTTCGCTTGGAAATTAAGTCAACTACGAAACACCCTCGCAATCAGGTTTTCGGTGCCTTTTTCCTCGGTCGTAGACAACAGCTCGATAGGAGACGTTTCGTTGCGGAAAAACTTTTCCTATCGCTGCTACGTTACGTCTGAGCAATTTAAAACGACGAGGATGGTGAACTATTGGAACTTGAAAAGTGTAGGTAACGCGAAGGTACAAGTCTCTAGTGGTCAGGACAGAAACTGTCCACTATTCCCACATTGCTACTCAACGCTATTCACGGGCTATGCCACGACCACTTCAGCAGTGATCACTGCACATCGGTACAAGGGTGGCGCTACCGTCGCGTCCCTTATAATTTCCACCCTTTCTCTCGCGAAAAAGCTACACTATAATCAGATCCAAAGCACAGTTCGCTTTTTATAATCGTTACTCGAGTAAAAATATAGCGGTGCCCGGTTCCCAAAGCTATTTCGCGCGCAAACCCGAACAGATTCAAATTTCAGTCGCGAGGGGTCCTGGGACGGATTCAAAGGTAATTCGCGCCGGTGTGGATGGAAAATAAATTTCGACGGGTCTAACGAGCTTCCGTGCACGCACGCGACGATGCAATTTCGAGGGTCGGGGTCGGCTACGTGCGTCCCGACGTCCGGGTCCGTTTCTGCGGCCAGCAGCCGTGGGGAACCGGAGTTTCTGAGGAAATTCGAGCCGACAGCGGTTTACTGGCCGGCGCACGGTCATTGGATTAGTCCGTACGTGTCGATGCGCTTAATTTCGGACGCCCGTAAACGACACCGCGCCAACCTGGGGGTTTTCAATTTCAATCCGTGCGCGTCTTCTGCCTCGCGCACGACGCGGAGAGAGTGCAACGCGTTCGTTCCAATTACAGTTGCAGTCGCACTTCCGGCACCCACCGAAATTCGCGAAATTTATGGAACGATCCATCGACGGGATCACCATTTTTCCTTCGAGGAGCGGGATGGACGTTTCACGCTGGACTTTCGATGGATTTCGGACGAGAATTTGGGACAAGATTGGAAAATTCTTGGGGACGAAGATTTGGGAATTCGTGGTAGCGATTCGAACTATCGGTTTGCGAGTGGTCCGAGTGCGGTCGAAATAGGCGAGTTTCAGAGGAATTTTAATTGTTTTATCTTAATAGTGTGAGGTTTAGATTGATAACTGTTTTCTACATTCCTCGGATTGTATAAAATCCACATCGATACAGTTTCATTTTTATAGATTTTTACTACTCGAAACGTGGTCGGTGAACACTTTGCAATGGTGACGGAATCGGTAGGCCTGTACTTTGAAAATAAAACGCTAATATTGCAAGTTAATTAGGAACCAAAAGGGTCTTAAACCTTTTTATATCTACCAAGTACGAGGAAATAATCACCGAATAAAAGAGGACAGGTTAACGAGCCCGGATTTTCGATTAAACCGGTTAATAACGTGTTCCGTGTCACAATCAAACAAAGGAAAAAAACAGAGGGAGTATGGAGTCAATCGACAGAGACTCTCGCCGCCCTCAACAACCATTCAACGATCGATCACCAACGAGACAACGTTTTATCCGTTGATTTTCGACCAATTGCCATCGTCGCCGACCATCTCCCGTAATTTACGTTCAAATGCCCTCTTCTTTTATTTTTTTTTTTTTTATTTTTTTTTTCCCCGACTCCCGTTCGTTTGAATATTGTAGCGTGCTCTGTTTCCCTCGACTCGATTTCCATTTTAAATCGAAACGCGCTTCCCGACGAAATTCCGCGGGCTTCGAGTTTTGACAGGGGTTATCGGATACGTGCGATCGCTCCATGGAAATTCCGTCTGCCGATCTTTGGGGTTCAATGTGTCCACAGGGATACGCAACTTGAACCAGTAACACCCTTGCAGAGCCCTTCCCTTTGTACGACCTTTCGTGTTACTTACACGAAGGTTTTTCTTTCTTCAATTTATTATTCTTTTCAAAATCAAGACGCGTTGAAAGGTAAAATAGTCGAATTTTATTTCCCAATTTGTAATACTCGTTAGTGTTATAAGGGGAAGATTATTATCAGAAGATTAATGATTTCTTTACGTAGAAACCATTTTCCAACTCTCTAGCTTCTATGGCCAATTTAACACACTCTCATATTTCTTATCAAATCTTTTAAATTCGTCAAGTACCACTTGTTAGATGTAGACCGATGATTATATAAAAGAATCCAGTGTCGATCAACAATCCTAACAAGCTTCCATTTATTTTGCAGGTCGATCTACCACGCCAAGACGCCACACCGTGTACCCCACATTGTGAGTAATCTGTTTAATTACGTTCCTTCAATTAACTCGCCTTCTTCCATCGCGCGTACGCGTAACAGCCCCGTCCAAGAATGACGACAGAGCGTTCTCATCTTTGGCGGTAACCTGACCCTCCCTTCGGTAATTTTTAATCTCCATCCGCTCGATCCTACTTCATCCGGAAACGAGCTCAAAGGATGCTCTCGTCTCGAGTATCGACCTTCCACGCCGTGGTATTAATCTAATCCCTTTCGACGAGGCTTGGAACAAAAAGGGCTCGGTCTTTGATAGCGACGGGATTGGAAAAACGGGCGCAGGTGAAAATTACGTTCCGAGCGGCGTTTTCGTTCTAATTCCACGGCGAAATATTTTCGATGCCCGGGGACCGCTCTCGGTGAGTTTTCAAATTAATTCCGCCGAAAGTTTGGACGGCGAGTTGAACAGCTCGCGCTGTTGTAATATTTCGCGCGATTATTCTCGTTTCGGCGAAGCTTTTTCCAAGAGGAGTTCGTGCTTCGTTTCGTTCGGTGATTTCAACGCGTGGAATCATCTCGCGAACTGCCTGAGAACCCTTCGATGGACGCCCGGGGAATTTTTAATTGGTTTTCTTCGAATTTTGACAGATGGTATCCGTGGAACATTTAGTGGAATATCCGTGGTGGCGAGAGTTCGTATATTCGACGATATGTAGTTAATTGTTCGCGGATCAAAATATTATGGAAATTAAAGAAAATTAGGATGGCAAGCTTATGGCACCGATTTTATTAGGACGAGTCAAAGCCCTAATCTCGACTTGGAATTGAACACATGTTGTCCTACATTCATAATTAAAAATCCTTAAACTCATTGCCACTTAAGCTCCTGCTCGCTCTCGAATGTACAAAGACGCCTCAATCGATATTCTCTTAACGGACTGCTCGCATAAACGACGTCGCCTAGCATAGCGTAATTTAAATTTCAAATTCAAGTAAAAACGCTCGAGTGTCACCGATAGGAGTCCCCCTATATTATTTTTATAAATCACGCTTCGTTTCCACGAGCCACCTGGTCGGGATCGATTCACGGTCAACAAGGGCGAAAAATGGCGTTCTTTGGCTGACCTTAAACCCGACAGAAACACGAGAGAATTTTCGTCGTCGACGAGGGAACTACGGACAGAGGAACGACGCGAGACGGAAGTCGAGGAAAAATGCACACCCGCCGCTTGGAAAAACTCTCGGTGAAATTCTCGCCTGCTCGAAGCAATCCGCGAAAACGAATTCACTTTACTATTCAAATAAAGAAATTGGAGACCGTAGATTCTTTGGATTATTGAGCTTAAAGGGCTTCATGGAGGGTGGCAATTAGACGAATTCTATCAGTGGATTTTTTCGTAGCAAAAGGAAAAGAAAATTAAGCATTGAAAGCATTATTACGCTATTATATGATACATGGAGCAACGTAGATAAGGACATTGATTTTCGACTCTGTTCTTGGACCAGAATATAATAATTTGAAATCACTGAATGATGAATGAAATTGAAGAGCAAAATATATTATAAGGAATCAAAAAGCGGATCTGAATAGACAAGTACTCCTCGCAACATACGCACGCAAATTAATTCATTATGGCGGAGTGGAAAGAAAAACGTCAATGCGCCCTTTCCAAGCTTGATTCGCAGTTTCGTGTTTACATTCCGCGACGCGCCAGAATGCAGTCTTGATTCGCCATGTTTGCAGGGGCCCATATTTCGCTGAAACGAGGACATAATTAACGAGCGTCGCCGTCGAAATTACACACAACCCTCCCGCGTGTTTCGCGCTAATTTACCCTCCTCCCGTCGAAGTTATCGTTTACCTCCGCGAGGTTCATCCCTCGGAAACGAACAAGTTTCTTAAACACGCTATCTTCCGCGGGAGGATCGTCGTTCCCCTGGCAACTATCTTGTTGCGTCCAGGCTTTTGGTAAACAAGCCGTAATTATAAGCTGCGCGGGCGAGTCTTAATTACGAGGCGACGTACGCGTCAAAAGCTTTCCTCGTCGAATCGATCCCGGTGTCTGACAAGCCTCGAGGAGCTCGCGGCGACAGCCGCAGAGGAATGTCGCCGAGAGGACTTGAACCTTTGCTTCAATTCCCGCGCACGTTTTCTAATCACGAAGAAGATGTTCCTGCCGCTCGATACGACTCGACTAATCCCAATGTTTACTGTCTGGATGTTAAATGCTCGAGGGGGCACGACGTCGGAGCTTCGTGCTTTGTATTCCCGATTCAGAGCATTCGGGGATGTACAATTTATGGCGGTGGATTGCGTCGGGATTATTAAATATATGTAGGAGTTCGGCTCTGAATTGGGCTCTGAATTTCAAATTATCGTGCGATAATCGATCGAGCGCAACGAACGCAGCAGACGGGAGTAGGTTTCGAAGTTGTCGTTTTGCAATCTGTCATCGTAAAGAACTCGCCTGCCAACGGTTATATCGCATCAATTCGTGAATACGTCCGTTCTTTCTTCAATCCCCATCGGTCACGAATCCTACATGTATAAAGGAGTCGTTCGAAGAATTATATAGCACCTCGATGAGTTTGTTTGTCGCACGGATTCCGGTAGATGTCGCGCGATAAATTCTTCGCGTATTTCATATTTCTCTGTCAAGCAGTTTTCCTGTAACGCCGTGACGAAGTTATGCTACGCAAATTTGCTTTTCTCAGCTTCCGCGAACTTTGATTGTGTTACAGGAACGTCAATGAAACTTTTTTCTTTAACGCTTTAATCCAGTTTGCGAAGTTATTTTTTCGTGACGTTGCGCTACCTCGCGTCACTCGATATCGTCAGGCACTAACTTTCTCGAACTTTCGTTGTAGAAAATTAAAAAATTTTCAATTCTATTTTCTTTTCTCTTCGACTATTCTGTAACTCCCGGTACGATAACAAAATTAGTATAACATATTCCAACCACCTCCTCTATCGGAGGTTTAACGACATTGCTCGAGAGACCACGGATTTTACAAAATATACAAACTCGAAACACGCTCGGTAAACGCGAGGAGGAGGTCTATCCACATGCAAAATGAAATATTAATTTATGAAATATATTCAGCGCGCGTTTTGCATACGCTTTCCGTATTACCATACGCCATAAGTGCATAAATTCCGCCGGCTGCTTACAGCGTTACGGAAGAAGCACGATATAGGAGGAGGAAAACAAGCTACGCGTATGTTTCGTGGCCAGTGAATGACTCGGTTCTTATCAGCCGAATCTTATCGACCCCCTAGGAAACGTGAAATTGAAATTGAAAACGCTCGTGAGCATCCGAGCGAGGGGGAAGCCCGACGACGAAGCCATTTCGAGGGATTTTCCGTGAGAAAATCGCGCGATTGAATTAGAAGCGCGGGGAGCATCTCGAGCTGAAAGGCGCGACGAAGGGAAGCCAGTGGGAAATGCGGGAGAAGTGCTCTTCGAAAAATCACCGATGAGCCCTCGCGACGGCGGCGGATTAATAACGAATACGCCTTAATAATCTCAGCGGGCGTCCGCCGTACTGGAAACTGCGGGAAGTAATCAAATCTGCGGTTCCTAGGATTGGATGAACTCCAGTAGATGTGGTCGGTCACGTACGGTTCCCTGGCAAATTCGATCACCCGCCACGTGGAGCGATCCATGCGCCTACGAATGTGAAACGTACAAGTATTTTTAGACGGCTTGTAGCTGGTCTAGGCTTGCAATCGTTAATGTAAAACTTCAAATCTCAGATTTCTTTTTAACTCTTAGTATTCTTGGTTAATTCGTTCGGGAAATCGTTGGTCACAATTGTCATTGAATAATAGTAAAACGAATTAGAATTACTTCAATCGCGTCAGCTTTGAGGATGAATTATTTGGTATCCAGGAATAATTAAATAACTGTGTAGATTAATGAGATAATTGACTCTTGGCTTCTCCTTTAAATGGGATACAACTTTTTACACTTTTTCTCGAGGCATTACTGTACACGTACGCCAAAATTAAGTAAGTGTCTAGGTTTTATACGTTTCGTTGAATTAAATCCTTAGTGCAGGATAAATTAGAACGACCCCTCTGACGCCACGGAGACGAGTTACTTTGTCACTTTCGTCGGAAATAATTAATAACTTTAAACACGAGGTAATCGCGCGCAATTTTTTGTGCCCCCTCTGAAAACAGAATTTCGCGCGTGTGACGAGTGCCGGGCGCTTAGGTCCCGTGCATTTCTCCAAATTAAATCCCGAAGATCGGTCGAGAAAGGACGTTTCGGATGAGAATACCCACTTAATCCGACTCGATTAAGGGAGCCGCGAAACCGGGCGAGCCGCCTGTACGTGTCGGCTAATTAAATCCGGGAAATTAGCTCTGTCTTAGAGGGAGATGGAACGTCAGTCGCAGGGAGGGCACAATAGCGCGGCTGTTTCCACTAACGTCGTAGAACTCTCCGGCGAAAGTAATAAGAGATTTAGATCTCTCCGCTCGGAGGTCCGCCATAGTTTTCTACCTTTTTCGGGGCCGTGATTTTCCCGGTACAAGGTGAGCCGTGCAATTGTCGTGGTGCACGGTTAATTTTAACAAGAGCGTGGGTATACAATTTAATTTTCGCAACTTCCAAGACACATTTTTAAAACCAGACGCGGTAGTAATTAAGCAACAGAGGTTTTTCCAACCACTTTTCATTTACCGAAGTGAGCGGTTCAAAAGAGGTCTCTTCGTATTTTTCAACGAAACGAGGAAAAGGATATTTTCAGTTCCTGTTTATTAACTTTGTTATTTCTTGCGTTTAATTCAAGAATACAAACCGTAAAAGCCTTCGAGGCGACTTTGTTTACTTGCTTTTATTTATAATTATTGTAAAGAGAAGTATACTAGGTGCTATTTAAAAACTCTTCGAAACGAACTTTCCTCGAAAGCAATCTTTCTTTAAATCGGAGAAACCGATTCGACCGCCACGACGACCGGTTCGCGACTCACCCTGTATAACGCAACGACTCACTCGAGCGACAAGCCAAGCGAAGAAAATGGGATCG